ATGCACTAGCCTGGCTCCCTGAGGCTACACACTCTACATTAAAACACAGCACTGAGATGATTTATAGTAAAACCAAGAGTATGTTTATTAATAAAGAACATAGATTTAACTGATACTAAGCAGAGATAACAGAAAATCATTAAAAGCAAAACAAAACATGCTTTCTAAAACTTAATTCTAGCAAGTTGTCTTTGCCTAAAATAGCTTCTCACTTACATCAAGCTACCAGCATTTCCAGCCCTCTAGGAGGAAAGAGGATCCAATGTTTACAGACTCAAAGGTTGCTGTTCCCTTTGTCCCCTACATGATGGATAACGAATGTCTTTTTGCTCCCCTTATATTTCCCAGAGACCGTTGTCTTTGCCTCAGGAGCCAAGAAAACCACCTGGGGATTCATACTGCCTGGCGAGCTTACCAAGCTGTTTCCTCCACTGCTTGATTGCTTGGGTTACCTCATATGTAAATGTACTTTCATTGTGTATGGCTTACAAAGCTTGCCCCAGATAAGTAAATTCACAGTCCTTTGTCTAAGGCAGGCTTCTCTAGCCTCTGCCTCCCAAACATATTTTAAGAACATATTTCCAGCACACAACTCTTTATACACATCCCGTACTGCATCACTCAGTGATGTTCATGACCAGTGTCTCACCAGTTTTTGTACTATCTTACTCAGTGCACTTTTATAGTACAATAATATTGTATACAATCAGTTAATTCAGTTGCTTATTCTTTGGGGTTCAGATCACCTGTTCTCTGTCCTGGGGTGTCTGGACCCAGATTGTGACAATCAGCATAGATCTGTTTTCCAACATGGCATGGACCAAATTCTGTTAAAAGCTGATCATTTCTCTCACTAATGTGTTTCAGAATTGCGGTTTTATGTTCACTTTAAATTCTGTTTCTTAAAATGAGTAACAAAGCTGTCAACTATATATATTTATTTATTTTAAATGTAAAAGTTATGTATTAGCACACTTTTAGCAGCCAATGCTCCTCCCCCCCCCCCATTGGATCTAATTTTTCTGTTAAAATGCTTGATAAAAGGAAGAAGTTAAAATTCTGTAACTAAGAGGAATAGTTCTTTAGTTTGTGCAATAATAAAATATTCCCAGATATAAATAAATATCCCTCCCCAAACCCCTACAATGTACTTTAACTTCTAGGTTGACAAAAATGAGATTTTTCTTTTATTGGACGTTTCAGTACTATTTGACCAAGAAACCTAAAAGCCTAAAACTGTTGTCTCGATGGAATAAAAGAGAAAGTTGTAGAGGTGTCCTGCAACAGGCAGAGAAACTAATTAAATGTGGTTCTACTCAGCAAAGTGACTGACTGGGGAAAATGGCACCATAATCAGTAGATCAGGGGTCGGCAACCTTTCAGAAGCGTGCCGAGTCTTCATTTATTCACTCTAATTTAAGGTTTCGCGTGCCAGTAATACATTTTAACGTTTTTTAGAAAGTCTCTTTCTATAAGTCTATAATATATAACTAAACTATTGTATGTAAAGTAAATAAGGCTTTTAAAACGTTTAAGAAGCTTCATTTAAAATTAAATTAAAATGCAGAGCCCCCCGGACCGGTGGCCAGGACCCGGGCAGTGTGAGTGCCACTGAAAATCAGCTCGCGTGCCGCCTTCGGCACACATGCCATAGGTTGCCTACCCCTGCAGTAGATGGTCACTCTGTGTGCATTGAGTTCCTTGTGATCACTTTAGTGATGCTATGTTTTTGCTGCTCCAAACTACCGATAAGCTTGTAGAAACAACACAGCTATGGGAGAGTGAGTTGGTTTTTGTTTTGTCTCACACAACACCCACAGAACAGCTAACAAACTGCAGAGCCAATTCTGCCCCCGATACACCTTGATTCTGCTCCCAGAAAACAGGGCTGCACAGGTGTATCAGGAAACAAAATTGGGCCTGTGCTATCTTTTACTAGTATCTAATGGCTGAGCCAGAAAGATCCCAACTTGATTTTGAGATTCCATTTCAATTTGCAGGACTCATCAGTAAGTAAAATGTTTGTTTTTTCTTGTAAGCAAAGTACATTTGGATTGGGAATCTTTAAAATACTAAAAATTATAATCCCATGATGCTGTTTTCACAGGGTGTCAGATTTGAACCACATTTTTAGAATTTAGGAGGAGAGTGCTCTTTGAGCATTTGAAGATTTTTCTTCATTGCTTACACGTTTGGGTGGTTCAGAATAATAGGAATTTTTTTATATTATATTTTGAGTTTTAAAACAGGCTGCTGCCAACCATGTTTTTGGGAAACCAGTTTCTCTTTTAAAACAGTGCCATTGTCATATGGTGTAATGCATGATTTACAGGACGGGAGAACCTCTGATTATCGCTCACAACTAGGGTACCTCTCTCCCAAACTGGCAGCTGCACTTCCGAGAGAGTAGAGCGCTGCAGGCATGGGATATCTAGGCAGGTGGCTCAGGTCCTTCTGGGGTCTTGGAAGCCATCTGTCAGAAGGCCCTGAAATTTCAAATGAGGGAAGTTTGTGGTGCATTCAGGCCCCAGTCAACTCCTGTTTTTTATTCTTCCCCTTCCACGCACATGGAGAAACTGCTTGCCTGCCTCCTGATGTAAAGGCCAGCTCCATCCACATACATTTGGCAGCTATTTTAGCCTGTCATGAACTAATTCAAAGGAGACCAGTGCGCGGTGATATGGGAGGTGAGGCTCTCAAAATAAGCCAATTAGAGGCTTAGAAGATCCTTGTTGTCAGGTTGAGGCAGTGTTTGACATTTGAAACCTCATGTTAAACAGCCCCCAGTGTTAGGGGAGAATGAGGTCACCCTGACAAAGCTGATGAAAGTTTCTTTCGAGCCATTCAGTTCCTGTGAGCTTAATTATCTTGCATGGAAGGTTGCTTTCTTGCTGGGAGTCCTTTCAGCTCACAGCAGGAGTGAGCTTCAGGTTGTCGTGACCGATCCAGTTTACACCAGGTTTAAGGTGGTGTTGTGGAATCATTGAACAGTCCTCCCCACAGTGGTCTGAGAGTTCCACTCCATTGAGTTTGTCCTCCTGCCAACATTTGTCATGCCTTCTGTTCCCCTCCCCATGAGGCCCTTCGCCATGTGCTCAGTGTCAAAAGGTCTGTGGGGCTCAGAGTTTCATTTGAGGCAGACTAAAGCCCTTAGGAAGTCCACTCAACTTCTTGCTGTTTTTCACACCAATCAGTGTGGGCAGTGCTGTTATAGTGTCTGACTTCTTGTTATAGCTTGGCCGGCCAGAAGCTAGAAGACTATAAGAACGTAAAAATGGCCATACTGGGTCAGATCAATGGCCTGTGTAGCTTAATAGCCTGTTTTCTGACCGTGTTCAGAGCCAGATGTTTCAGAGGGAACGAACAGAACATGCCAGTTATCCAGTGAGCCATCCCCTGTCGTCCAGTCCCAGCTTCTGGCAATCAGAAGTTTAAGGAGCCTCAGAACATGGGGTTGATCCCTGATCATCTTGGCTAATAGCCATTGATGGACCTATCATCCATGAACTTACCTGATTCTTTGTTGAACCCAGTTATACTTTTGGCCTTCACAATATCCCCTGGCAGTGAATTCCACAGGTTAACTGCATTTCTTTAAGAAGTGCTTCTTTGTTTGTTTTAAACCCTGCTGCTTTTTTCATTGGGTGACCCCTGGTTCTTGTGGGAAGGGTTAAATATACTTCCTTATTCACAGTCTCTAAACCATTCATGATTTTATAGACGTTTATCATTTTCCCCCCTTAGTCGTCTCTTTTCCAAGCGCATCAGTCCCAGCCTTTTTACTCTCTCCTTGGATGGCAGCTGTTCCTTAACCCCAATCATTTGTATTGACCTTCTCTGTACTTTTCTCATTTCTAATGTCTCTTTTTTGAGATGGGGTGACCAGAAGTGCATACAGTATTCAAGGTGTGGGGGTACCATGGATTTATACCAGTGATATTCAGACCTCAGTGGTTCAGAAGCCAAATTTGTGATCAGCATTATCCAAAAGAGCCACAGCAGTATGAATTCATTGTTTTATTTACTATAGTACTATATAGTCCTATTTAAACAGTCTGAGGGGAAATATTTAGTGTGTGTTTTTTTTTCTCACAGCAAAATGACTGACAAAGTATTTTATCAACTACAGTTGGTTAATAACATAGTAAAAGCCTCCTGATTAGTTAATAACTTAGATGGGTTAATAATTAAATCACACAGTGTTTTAATATTGTGCTGCAAAGAGCCGCAGGAGACACATTAAAGAGCATCTTATGGCTTGTGAGTCTCAGTATCACTATATATACAGTGGTATTATGATCTCTTCCGTCTTAGTCCCTATCCCTTTCCTAATGATTCCTCACGTTCTGTTAGCGTCTTTGACTGCCGCTGCACACAGAGCAGATGTTTTCAGAGAACGATCCATAATGACTCCAAGATCTTTCTTGAGTGGTAACCGCTAATAAAGACCCCAATCATTTGTATGCATAGTTGGAATTATGCATTACTCTGCCTTTATCAACACTGAATTTCATCTGCCATTTTGTTGCCCAGTCACCCAGTTTTGTGAGATCCCTTTGTAACTCTTATTTTGTGAGCTTTACCTTCTGTTCAACGAAAGGAACTGTCTGAAATGTTTAGAGGGCAGTAGTTTTACCTTTGTGGGTGGCATGCAAAGGTTAGTATGAGTCTTACCACTGCCCTCAGATCAAAATTATAAGAGCTACGGCAGATCCACCTGTGTCAAACTAGAAAGCTAAGACCAAAGAGTGAGAACTCTGATTGCCTGGTATCTTCAGAGAAGCAGAATTGCAGGTAAATAATTTTCTCTTGCTGTCTTATGCAGCTTCCAGTGATTGTATTCTTAGGTGTTTCATTGTTAAACTGCATTCACAAAAATTTAGTCCACAAACTTTTGACAGAATAAGTTTAATAGATTTTTTTTTTCCCCTATTGTACTTTAATTTCAACAGGTGACTTTTGGAAATGTCAAAGTACTCTTTATTTTTGTTCTAATGCAGCTTCCAGGTGGGAGTCTCCCTCAGTACGTGAAGACATGCAGCCGGAAATATGGATTGCACAGGAACTGCGGCGTATTGGAGATGAGTTTAATGCTTCCTATTGCCCAAGAAGGGTAATTTGTTTTATTTTATTTTTTAATTTTCTGTTTCCTTACATGCAAACTTTTGAAAGGGAAAGGTTTATAATAATTTCTGGAAATATGCCTTGTTGCAAATGTTTCATGTTCCCAAATGTACAGAGGTGTGCATAACATAAACGTTGGTGTATATGTGGGTAATACTTACCTTACGGAAGCACTAGTCATGACTCCATAGTGAAGGTTATTTTGAATTTTTCACTTAAAACTGGGATTCAGCCTCTTCTCTGTGATATATACAGTGTATCCATCTTCCCTTAATTTAAAGTACCCAGAGCCATCAAAATGCTTTCAAACATGTTTAAGTGCTTTGCTGGATCAAGACCATAATCTGTGAGTAAAAATTTTGTGAGGGGGAGGGGGACGTTTAGTTTTTTCAGGTAGACCTGCAAATTTAGTTTGAGTTAAAACTCATTAAAACTACTGGGCCTTTTAAGACACTTGCTCTGGTGACTCTTGCTTTTCTTTTACTTATTTATCTAAAACACCACTGCTCCCACCACCCCCAAACTATGCACATACCCACAGGCTGAGAATCTCTCAGACAGAGGCTCCAAGGTCGCCCCAAACGCTGCTCCTCATTCCCCAGGCACATTCTTGCTCCTCCTCTGCTGTTATGAGGGGTGGGCAGCCATATGTGGGATGCCTGTGGGGCAGACAGCTAGGGTGTGGGGACATGGGGGGTGAGTGGAGATGTAGGAACTGGGATGGAAAGTTCTGGGTCAGTCGGTTACCTCAGTGCTGCGGTGGCAGTCCTTGGACTTTCGCCACTGCTCCCTTGGCACTCCAGCACAGCCCTGCTCTGACCTAGGTACCCTCTACAGACATGTGCTTCCCTGCACACAACTCTGCTCCTCTCCTGCAGTGTGTTTGAAACTTTTCTTATCTTATTTTTCAGTCTTAAAATATACTGGTACCATTTTTAAAATAGCACATACAATTGTAATGCTGTAAAATTCTGTCTTTATGACTGAGGCAAAGTGGATAGAATTGAAATTACAAATCAATCCTAAAACTAAGCTAACAATTGGTTTTTAGAAGGAATTAAGTCAGTGATGGACTTGGCTTTACAATATTAATTCTACACTGCTTGCATGTTTATACATGCAATTTCTAGCCATTAACTTGTCCTTTCACTCTTTTGAGAGGAGAACTACACTAAGCACAAGTGTCACTAGGTCATAGTCATAAAGTTTAAGGCCAGCAGGGACCACCAGATCATTAATCTGACCTGTATATCACAGATCACTAACACCGCCCAATTACCCCCATGCTAAACCCAACAAACATAATTAGACCAAAGTGTTACAGCCCTCAGCAGACTAACCTGCTGTGTGCCACAGGCCGAGACCCGCGGAGACAGGTGCACCGGTACCCAAGGTCCCTATCGATTAAGTGAGAGATGAGATGTTAACTGCTTGGATTTTTAACTGACTTCCATGAATGGTAAGTCAGTGACACAAGATTATTCCTTTTTTTTATTTTTATTTTTTTAAGAGAATCCATACTTTATTTTGGGGGCTTTCAACTGTCTCAATCTCAGTGCAACCTGTTCTTCTCCCAGTCTGCTTCTTGACCCCCTGTTCACTGTTCTACTCTTCTGTGTCATCTAGTTCTCTGTACACCCTTATTTCTCTCCCGATGTTGCTAGTACTTGGTGTGAGGTACTGAGTTAAGCAGCATATACCACAGCTGCATTAACATAGTCTGAAGAAAAATCTTTTGCTAAGTACACCTCTACCCTGATATAACGCTGTCCTCAGGAGCCAAAAAACCTTACCGCGTTATAGGTGAAACCACGTTATATCGAACTTGCTTTGATCCACCAGAGCGCGCAGGCCCCCCCCCCCCCCCCCCCCCCCCCCCCCCC